TGGATCACCCGGCTGTTGGACGGCTGACGGTACTCACAGAGGCCGCGATGCTATCGGCTCGTGAAGACCACACATTGTCCGGTAATTGTTGACCCGAAGTGTCGGGCAGTTTTATTATGTTTACCAGCTGGATGACCAGTATCACAGTATAGACCATAACAGGCACCCCGTGGAGGGAGTAGGAGTCGAGGGTGTTGATGAAGGGACAGAGAACCCCACCGATGCGGCCAATTCCTGCAGCCAAGCCCAAACCCTGGGTGCGCACTTCAGAGGGAAAGAGTTCAAGCACGTACATGACGAGCATGTTGAGTGAAGCCAGGATGGGAATGAGTGCCAGATTGCAGCAAATATTCAGCACCAGATCCGATCCAGGCGCGATGAAAATGACATACAGCGAGGCAGATAGGAGAATGATGCAAGCCATGCCATAGAGTACTGCAATCGGTACTTTTCGCTTCTTACAGAGACGATAAAGGAGACCTGAGATAAGGGTTGCGGGTATTTGACAGGCCGAATTCCAAAAGTTGACCCAATATATGTCCGCGTGTATGGAACGACCGTAGAAAATTAACCCAAACGTGGTGGCAATTTGCCCGATAAAGAGCAGGATACACTGTAGGGTAATGAGAAAAAGGCGTCGATTTTTGGCTGGATTGAATAAGGACGGCATCATTTGGGAGCACATTTGCGAACAAGATTTGCAATTAGTTCTGCCACTGACCTCAATCGAATCCTGCAGGAGCACAGGCGCCTCATCATAGCGGTTGCAAAACTCGGCTTTGGTGAGCATTTTGGCGCCACTTCGACACCTCACCAGTGAATTCACACGGTAGCCTGTGTACAGAGCATGAAGCGCCTCCGACGGCTGCTTCTGAGACACCAGCCACCTAGGTGATTCGGGAAAAAACCAGATGCAGGGGAAGCTGAGGACTGTCGGTAACGTTAGAGCTGCATGTAGCCACCTCCAGTTGGGAAGGAATAAGGCCAGTGGCGATATGAGTGCTCGCAGGACGAAGCCCTGGACAAAGGACCAAAATGAATTAAAAAGAGAGCGCTGACGGGCCACGGTCAGTTCCATTATGAGAACAAGCAGTACTGCAATTTTTATTGTTGTTGCACAGGCCAGCAGCCCCCTAGAAAGTATGTAAACCCAGTAGTTCGGCGCTAGAGCCACAGCAATGCTGCTCAAACCTTCGAGTAAACAGGCAAAAAGCGCAGTT